CAGAAAAGGAAGGAGACAACTCTCGGCCAAACTCTTAACCGGTGAGGAGCGTATAATCCGTACAGTACTGCACGGAAAAATTGACCATTTTATCCACTACAATTGCATTGCTCAAATGTGCTGTTATTGGTACCATTTACTACTGAAAATATCAACGAGATGTTTATTTTGAGTAGTAAATGGTACCAATAACAGCACATTTGAGCAATACACTTGTAGTGGATTAAATGGTCAATTTTTCCGTGCAGTACTGTACGGATTATACGCTCCTCACCGGTTAAGAGTTTGACCGAGAGTTGTCTCCTTTCTTTTCTGGCCTAGTGCTGTTCTTTTTTACTTTGCGCCGGTCAAACCGAAGGTCACATCGCTACAGAAAGTAAACGAAGTATACTAACTAATTTCTCTAGTCTTGCAATGACACATCACAAACAAGAAATCGTTTTTTATATTATCTGTTCTTGATGAAATTCCAATACTGGTACAGACTTTATCATTAAATGATATTACATTAACATTAATTTAAGGTGATTGTGAGTTCCTAACACTTAACAAGACAGACTTTAACGAAGTGTTGAAAAAGTTTTTAATAGACGAATGGGATCAGATTGAACAAGCAATGAATCAGTTTATTTATTTTAATGGATGGAACGCTGCTACTAAACGAGAATGCTGCATTTTATCGAAACTGAAAACGTACGAAGCCGGTGAAACTTTAGCAGGCGATACGTTAGGATCGACTGAGTACACGTTCTTCTTATTAAAAGGAACTTGTCAATTAGTAGAACACTTATTGGTCACAAGTGTAAACAGGAAAGGTGTTAAATATTTTCGGCAGTGGAAACCTTCTGAAGATGATAATAGCGAAGAATGGTTAGATAAGATGCGGGTGAGATCCACGCTAGGACGCTTAGGTCAAATTGAACCTTTAATAGATCTTCATAATAAAATGAGCTCAGCTCAAGTCTTACCACCATCAAGTTCTGAAACAGAATTACAAAGCACCGTCCAAAAACAAGAGTCACATGAATATATTCAAGATAATTTGGAAGAGTTTTTTAATTAGTAGGTACAATTTGAATTTAGCTGTATAACAGTATATTAGTTTTCCTTTACGAGACGGAGAATGTTAATAACAGTCATTGCACTGTACGTACCGGCTGAATTAGTTTGTAAATAGACTGTGAGCAAAATCGTTCTTCAAAGGGGGAATTTTTTGGACCTGCACTACAACGTTTACTGTAAAAATAACTTTTTTATTTTATAAGGCATTATGATGAAGCCCTTTCAACTTTAAATCGAATATAATTTTATAAAATCCGATCGACCAATTTGTTGCTGAGATGTTAAATTGTTTATCCCAAAACGTCCAATTTCTATTACCTTAGTAGAATGAAGATTCGGGCTATAGGGCCATGGTCTAAGTGAACTATTCTGTCCAGACGTTTCGTCATTCTACTATGGATTCCGGCCGTGAAAGCTTTTGTTTCTATATTTTACTAGCGACCCGCCCCAGCTTCGCACGGGTGCAATGCTTATACTAAATATGTATATTTAGTATCTTCGGTTTTAACNCTTCTGAAGATGATAATAGCGAAGAATGGTTAGATAAGATGCGGGTGAGATCCACGCTAGGACGCTTAGGTCAAATTGAACCTTTAATAGATCTTCATAATAAAATGAGCTCAGCTCAAGTCTTACCACCATCAAGTTCTGAAACAGAATTACAAAGCACCGTCCAAAAACAAGAGTCACATGAATATATTCAAGATAATTTGGAAGAGTTTTTTAATTAGTAGGTACAATTTGAATTTAGCTGTATAACAGTATATTAGTTTTCCTTTACGAGACGGAGAATGTTAATAACAGTCATTGCACTGTACGTACCGGCTGAATTAGTTTGTAAATAGACTGTGAGCAAAATCGTTCTTCAAAGGGGGAATTTTTTGGACCTGCACTACAACGTTTACTGTAAAAATAACTTTTTTATTTTATAAGGCATTATGATGAAGCCCTTTCAACTTTAAATCGAATATAATTTTATAAAATCCGATCGACCAATTTGTTGCTGAGATGTTGTTGTTTATCCCAAAACGTCCAATTTTTATTACCTTATTTTAACACCTTAATTACTGCTTTAAAAAGGGTGTGTATTTTTGTCATAAACATTTAGAACTGGAGCTTACCCAGAAAAACATCATAGCAGCTCACTTCAAAACAAAGAAATGATTATCTGCAACCAGTAGGAGCCGAGTTCGGATAACTTTTTAAGAAAATCGTAACTGCTTTAATTATAATACTTGAACTATGAATCCAGTGGCATTCGATAGTCAAAGACCTAAGACAATCTTTTATTAAAAATGTCTCTGCCTTTTTTTTTTAAAGAAATCAAGAGCAATAAACATTTGACGTCTCGGGATAACAAACTAACATATCTCTGCATCATATCGACCGAGTTCTGCAAAACATTATTGTATTAAGAACTGAAGAGGGTTCACCATAATACCCTAAGTTATTTCTGCAACTGCAATTATAAAAAATGAGAATTATTATTTCATGATCAAAATTGAATGTTTTTGAACTGACTATAACTTATATTTGAAAAATTCCCGGATTTCTTATTTTTTTATTTTTATTCCCCACAGCTCAGACTGTAAAACTAGGTACAACTTTTAACGCATGTAAAAGTTTTCACTTTCTACTTTTCATACCAAATTACTTTGGATTTTGTTTTATTTGTTTATTTTCGTTTTAGTACCATAAACGAAGTAGAGCAAATGCGAACGAAGCGTACAACACCTCCGAGTTTACAAACAAAAATTCCTTCCAATGTAGAAGTCTACTATATGCAAGTAAATAAATTATTCAGTAATATTAATTTGATAACACAAAGAAGTTTTCAATTTTCGCCAATCAGTAAATGTTACTGGGTGTGATGTAACTATGTTTGTTCCAATGGTCTTAATTATATAACACTTTATAATTTAAATATCAAATAGAAAATCATCTGATAAAAAGTTTGGCGTAATACTAACTATCATTATCATAAGGTCGTTAGTCCTAAGACTGGTTGGAGACGTACTATCACTCCTTCCTGAGCCAATCTTCGTATTCTCCTAAAACTAGAACATCCCAATTTGCGAACAGTAATCTAATCCTCTCTTCCACTAAACTCCTGTTTCTGCCTGTCTTATTATTATTTGCCTGTAACACCACATTTCGAACGCTTCTAACCTTTTCTTTTCCGCCGCGCCCACCGTCGTTGTTCCGCACCCGTATAGCGCAGCGCTTCAACCATACACCTTTAACAATCTTTTTCGAATTTCTAAATTCATCGTTTGCGAGCATATAAGTGACTTCTTTTTATTGAATGCGACCTGACCCTGCGCTATCCTCTGCTTTATATCCCTACTACTCTTTCCGTCCTGACTTATCTGACTTCCTAGATACCTAAAATCAGACACTTCTTCTAATCTTCAGTCTGCTATCTTTACCTTCGCTCTTTCTCTACTTTTTCTTCCCTTGCATACCAGTATTTTTGTTTTACTTTTAATTATTTTCATATAGTACTGTTTTGTCAACACCGCTTCCATTTTATTTAAATCTATCTCTAAGTCCTCCTCGCTAGATGCTAATACTGCTATATCATCTGCAAAGCTAAGCTTACTAATCCTTTGCCCCTGTATATGTATACCTACACTTGTACTGTCTTTAATGATGTTGATCGCGAAAAATTTTTGGTAAATTGGTCAAAGTGGAAAGTTATCTCATTTGGTAGGACATTTAACAACTTGGGTACTAAAAAGTCTTAAGATTAAAATCATTTTGGCTTCTTAATTTAATTAAATATTATTTTTGGTTTTAGCTTTGTATTTTTAAAGAATTGTCTTGCTTTGCTATTGGAGAACAATTGAAAAACCGTCGAATAATAGCATTGACGCCCGTGAATGTTTTGGAGATTCCTAGATATTTTCTTTTTGATAAAAACGTCGGTAATATTTGGAGTAAAATACAGCACTTTTTGAACATCAGAATCCCGTCAACCGATCAGGTGTTTAAAGAATTCGTTAATTTACGGAAGTGGGAAAGGCATTGTAAGGAAATGAAAAAACCTATTATTAAATATAGAACATGCTGTTACAGTAACAGCTTCTCAAATTTGCCCTATTATGTCAGAATTCGAGATCATGTGCAGTATAACACGAAAAAAGGGGAAATTTATAATTTAAAATGATTATATTAGTAGTAAGATTTATTAAAAAAGGGTTTGTGATTACGAAACAATAAAGTGCCTTTAATATCATGAAGTTGTTCTTTTTCATTACTTTAAATAAAAAACCCTACAATTCGTATTTTAGTTAGCTTACGTTTTGTAAAAACAACCTTCAATTTCCGTAACATGGGATAAAGTTTATACAATTATACAACATAACGTGGCAATTGAGAGCAAGGTGTACCACTAGTGTAGCTATTAAAACAAAATAAAGTTCACTTCTGCCCGCTTTATCCTTATTTTGAAAGGAAATTTTATTTATCGTAAGTTCCAGATCTTTTGATCTGTTTGCCTCTGTGAATTAATCTTAAAATATTGTTCAAAGCTTTACGAAAACACAAAATCTTTATATGAGTCTTTTAGACTCAAACCCTAACATCTGAATGAAAAATTTATCCCTATTTTATAAAAAAAATAACATCGTATGTTCTGCTGTCTACACGTCCTTTAGCGTTAAGTTTGCCATGTTTAGTTTGACAGGTGTTAAACAGACAATTTGAAATAGTTATCACCTTATATATTTCGTAAATTTTTTCAATTTTTTATTAATTTCTATAAAAAGATATGGCGACCGCAGATAAAAGCAAGAAGAGACGCAAAGAATCTCTTGTGAGTTAATATATAAAGCGATTAATGAGACTGATTAAACGAAAGAATATTTTAATTTAATTGTAGACTGCAGATGAAAAACTGACCCGGAATTTGACATACAAGCGCAAATTTCGTGCCGTAGTACGGTTGGTTTTAGCCAACATACATTGGCTACAGGAAGTGGAATCCCAAGAACTAGGCGACAGTGTTAAGAAAAACTTTCTTATGATTTTAAAAAAAGGAAAGGGAAAGACGATGCTATCATTAAAGGTACATGAAGGTTTTAAGTAAAGTTTGTATAGGGTCGGGAATGCACCGAACATTACAGGTGCCAAAACACCGCGAGCGTAGCAAGGTCCCTCTGGGGTTTAATGATTTGACAGAATTTATAGTTTATTGGAAAGCAAACAAAAGATTTTGTGTTGGTGGGTACCTCTAAGAACACTAAAATTCCTCAAGTATACCATGACGTTGAGGTGTAATATTCTTTTGCAGAGTGCATTACCATCTCTGGCCCGAAACCATAGCACATCCATAATCATCATATGCATATATTTAATCGTATTCAATACGCATAATTGTACTTTGGAAATCCTGACGGAAGAATGCAACTTTAAGGAACCGTGTCTTAAAAAGACGAGGTTTTACGACTTAGCGCCGTTTGAGACTTTTAATCAACATGTTGAGAACTATCAGAATTCAAAATTTTGCACACGGTCATTTTCGGTAACGATCTAGAGAGGTCCTTTATATTTATAATACATTTGTTTTCTCAATAAGAAATAAACGAGATAGGTTAGTAGGACACCTTCTGAGGCATGAAAGTCTAGTCAGAGACATATTAGAGGCAGAAACGGAAGCTAGGAGAGGTAGAGGTAGACCTAGATTAGATTACTGTTCGCAAATAGTTAAGGATATGGGTTGTTCTAGTTTTAGAGAAATGCGAAGATTTACTTAGGATAGGAAAGAGTGGAGGTGCGTGTTCGACCAGTCTTAGGACTGACGACCTTATTCCACATTCACATTTTTATAATTTTTGACAAAAATACTATATAAACAACGAACATTCTTTCACTTATAAACTTAAATAAAAAACAAAAACTGAAAACATTTCCTTTTTACATATTATGATTAAACGCCCAACCCTACCGTTCTTTCCTATTATATCCTTTTTACTATCTCTTCTTTCCCTTCTTTTTTTTCAATATTTTTTAAAAAATACCTACTCTATCTCCTTTTAAACCTATCATCCGACTGCACTTATTCAATGTTTTATTCTCCATACCTTCTTCCAATACATACCTCAAGTTTCCTATTTCAATTACACAAATCTTACATTTTCTCTGTAACTGTACATTAAATGATAATTTTTCTTTAAGGAAAAAGCTCTTCTGAGAAAACCAGTACAGTTACGAACTGCAGAAGACATCGGCATATTATACACAGTTGTGGGTGGAATAAAATGTTTTCAAAAGTACACCGAGGTATGTATCTGTGGTTTAAATTACTTATGGATGCTGAAATCTCATCTGGTTTAATCCATAAATTAACTTACAAATCATACGAGGGTGGATTGATAAGTTTCCGGCCTGACCAAGAAAAACAAGGTTTTTAAAAATTTTTTTTTTTATTTCTCAACATAATCTCCTCCAAGGCTGATACATTTCTCATAGCGGTGTTCCAGTCTATTAATGCCATCTCTATAGACTGATTCGTCAAGCTCCTCAAAATAACCATTTACAGCTTCGATTACTTCTTCATTGTCCGCAAATCTCTTACCGCCAAGCCATTTTTTGAGATTAGGGAACAGAAAATAGTCACTCGGGGCTAGGTCTGGAGAGTAAGGAGGGTGCGGCATCAATTCAAACTTTAGATCGTTGATTTTAGCCGTCGCAACGATTGACGTGTGCGCTGGTGCGTTATCGTGATGAAACAAGATTTTTTTCTTCGCCAGATGAGGTCGTTTAATTTTCACCTCGTGGCTCAAACGTTGCAATAAGTCTGCGTAGTATTGACCAGTGATAGTATTACCCTTTGCAAGGTAATCAATGTATATAATACCTCTTGCATCCCAAAAAACAGTAGCCATAACCTTGTTCGCCGAAAAAATTGTTTTTGCCTTCTTTGGAGTTGGTTCCCCTGGTCCAATCCACTGTTTAGACTGTTCTTTGGTTTCAGGAGTGTAGTGGTGGACCCACGTTTCGTCAACGGTTACGAATCGACGCAAAAATTCGCTTGGATTACGCTTATACAATGACAAATTTGCGGTAGAAATGTTTTTTCGAATCAATTTTTGGTCGACTGTTAGCAAACGCGGCACCCATCTTGCACAGAGCTTTTCCATATGCAAATGTTGGTGCAAAATATGTTGCACACGTTCATATGACATCTTACAGGTCTCAGCTATCTCACGCACTTTCAATCTGCGGTCTCCCAGCACTATTTGATGAATTTTTTCGATCATATCTGGAGTTGTGACCTCAACGGGGCGTCCTGAGCGAGGCCCATCAGAGGTGCTCACACGACCCTTTTTAAACTCGGAAACCCACTGCTTAACGGTTGAATATGACGGGGAGGATGTCCCCAGTGTTGAGTCCATCTCTTTTTTAATTTCCTTCGGCGTTAACCCCTTCAAATAAAAGTATTTGATGACAGCACGATTTTCCTGCTTTTCCATTTTTACGAAAACCACAGAGGCGTCTTGTTCAGCGTGCTGTCAAACCTACACTAGCAAGGAGATCGGGCTGAAACTATAGCTACAAGCTATCCAAGGATGGTACTATAGAATGTCACCTCAAGGTAGGCCTAGTGGCGTCATCTCTTGGTTAGGCCGGAAACTTATCAATCCACCCTCGTATATATCGGATCATACGTAAAATTACATTTCATTTACAAATAATGTTTAAAATATACAGCAAGTGAAGAGGCAACTGGCAGGCAAAACGTATTTTGAATACTTCGGGCCGGACCGTTATATTGTAAGACAAAACCACGAAGGTCTGAAATTGTTTTTCATTTTTGCTGGAACAGTGGGAGTGTACCAGGAAAGTATTGATCCTGCAACTGATGAACCAGTAACTACTGCTGTAGGGGTAATGGAAAAAGGTGATATGTTTGGGGAAGTTTCACTTCTTCATGGAATTGCAAGGCCATACAGCGTTTGCACAACCGGTACGTATTTTATGAAAAAATAATTTTTTGTGATCTTGTTCAGCTCCTCTTTCGATGCCGTCTCTTCAGTTTCGGGAACAAGAAAAGTCACAGGGGACCAGATCTGGGACGTACAATGGCTGCGGCATTATTAGTGTGTTGTTTTTCGTCAAAAATTCGCGCACAAGCGACGATTTTTGTTCGCCCACAAATCCGGGCGTTTCTGGCGAATTGCTTCTCGCAAATTGCGCATAACTTGTAGGTAATAGTCCTTATTAACCGTTATACCCCGTGACAAAAACTCATGATGCACCACGCCCCTGCAATCGAAAGAAACTGTAAGCAAAGCAAAACCGACTCGCTTTTTTCGGTCTTGGATCGTGCGGCAGCTTCCATTTGGATGATTGAGCTTTGGTTTTCTCGTCATAATCATAAACCCATGATTCGTCACCAGTTATGACCCTCTTGACAAAATTTGGGTTGTTGCTCTTTAGCAATGTCAATGTGATGCTGTTTCTGGTCGAAATTGAGCAATTTTGGTACGATTTTCGCGGCGACCCATCTCATGCCCAAAACATTGGCAAAAATCTAATGGCAGGAGACAATCAATATGTTTAGGTTCTCGGAAACTTCTGTAACGGTGATTGGCCAACACCATTTTCTTCATTTCCCAAGTAAATCAGATTAAATGAGCAAGACCAAAATTTAATACGCAAAGCCAAAACCAGAACCATGACCAAGACTAGTCTTGGGCAACACCAAGACAAAGGTCAAATAAGTAAGACCAAGACCAATACCAAAACATGGACAGTCCTGGTATTGGTCTTGCAGGACTGATCACTAAATGACATCTTATTCTATCATATTTGGATTAACTCATACTCGGTAATGTTTCTAATACCTTCTTTTTCTTTTAATTCAAGATCATTGCGAATTTTTAACACTAACAAAAAGCGATTTCGATGAAGTTTTAAAACGGTACGTACAAAAAGAGTGGGACGCAATATATGATGCTATGAACATGTTCAGATATTTTGACGGATGGAATGCAGTGACAAAACAGGAATGCTGTATCATATCAAAAATACAACAGTATGATGCAGGCGTGACACTAGTGGGTGACGACTTGGGTCCTACTGAATACACTTACTTCCTACTAAAGGGTCGTTGTAAATTGGTCGAATGTTTATATTTCTCATTAAACATTAAAAACGGAGTGAAATATTTTAAGCGTTACGAACCTGAAACTAAAGTTGAATCAGTCCGATCACGTTCGATATTGAAAACTTCGACAAACGAACTAACACATGGGCATAGCAAAAGTGAAAATCTGCAATCTTCCAATAAAAATTTAATAGTAATACAGTCTGCTCCTACAATCCATAACGGCGACGAAAACCAACTGAAATCGTCGTCAACTGTAAGTGAGGTTGGAGAAGAAAGGGAATTTGATGTCGAAGACTTCTTTAGAACGTGAGTAAATTGAAAATTGTATAAGATTAGTTTTGTTAGAAATCAATGGTTTGACTTTCAGAACGATTACAGAAGCGGAGGAAATGAAAACCCGACGCATGACAATTGCTGTGCAAGCGAAACATACGTCTCTTGGAGCTATTCCTACCTACGTAGAGAAGTATTACATGCAAGTAAAGATCTTATTTGGATAAGTAATTGCTAATAAAAATATGTTGCAAGTATCTATCATCATCAAGTCAGATAAGTCAGGACGGAAGGAGTAGTAGGGATATAAAGCAGTGGATAGCGCAGGGTCGTGTCGCCTTTAATAAAAAGAAGTCACTTCTAAGCTCGCGGACAGTTAATTTAGAAATTCGAAAAAGGTTGTTAAAGGTATATGTACGGGTGCGAAACATGGACGGTTGACGAGGCGGAAAAGAAAAGGTTATAAGCGTTCGAAATGTGGTGTTATATAGGAGGCGTCCACATAGAAAAGTCAATTTAAATTTTTTATGTTTATTAACCTATTTGTTACTGAATTACAAGTTATTCTGTTACCGCTTCTTATTTGAAATTCCTTTCCGAATTTTCAATGTTCAACTGCGTTCTTCTCAAAAACGATTGAAATTATCAAGTTGAGACTAGTGTTGCCCAAATTCAGTCTTGGTCTTGCAGTCTTGGTCTTGTTCTTGCGTTTTTGCAAGACCAAGACCAAGAACAAGACCGCGTATTTTTAGCAAGACCAAGACCAAGACTGACCGTGCAAGACTTGAGCAAGAACAAGACATAGCCTGCAAGACTCTTGCGTCTTGCAGCTAGGACTTAGCGCTATTTCACTGAGTAGTTAGGTGTAACAGTTCGGTGTATAGGTAGGTACGCTTAGGAATTCTATGAGACGCAAAAAACTGTATCAAAGAATATGAAAAACTGGACCTATGCGCATTACGACTAATACCATAAACATAGCGAATAAAAAAATTATTAAAATCAAACTGAGTGCATGCATAGTTATGTTTTAACCATCGGCACTTTGATAATGCGGCATCAAAGGTTTTGTACTTNTTTCAGAGCCTTGGAAAGGAATTTCAGAAAATATTTCAATGATGAATAGTGTGTGTAATTTCATTTTGGATGATCTCTCAATAAATCTAAGAGGAACAATATGATTCATATGCAGAGGAAGTGACTTTTTTTCTATGACCATCATTAAATCCTGATTACAACCCAATGGATTTCTGTCTTTGGCGACACATGAAGTATTTAATTTATGCCAGTAAAATTCCTTCACAAGTTGCGGCTAATTTTATTAGGGAACGGAATAATATTTTTTTTTTTTAATGTCAGAAAGTCCTTCATCGAGAGAATTAGAAAAGGCGTAGCAGTAGGAGGAGGCCATACGGAGCAGTTAATTTGATTTTATTTTTATTGAGCTATTTTGTTTAATTTAATTAATTTTTCTACTGCTTCTTATTTGAAATTCCTTTCAGAGACTCTGAAATATTAAACTACGTCATTCTCGAAAACGTTTGAAGCTATCAAGTTGAGACAAGTATAACAATTTTACATAAGAATTATGTTTATATCATATTCTATAATCAAAATTGCGTATCAAAAATATTTCTTAAAAAAAGCATGATCCATGTTCATTCTCAGTGGTAAAAAAAAAATGTACAATAGCAAAAAAAATTACATTTCTTGCCCAAAGTTATACCTGTGTGCTAATGGATAACGATTTATGAAAATCTTGTGAAATTAGCGAAAATAATATGTCATCTTTATCACTCTGTGTCTCTTTCTACAGTAATATTTTATAGAGACAATCTGATAGTTATAATTCACCCTGTATATTGAAATAATTTTAGACGCCACTAACATACCATTACAATACCCTTTCAGATTTGTTTCTTTAATGAGATGTCATGTTTCTCAATTGGTGAATACTTGAATAATCGTCGAATAGTAGCAATAACACCTGTAAAAGTATTGGCCATTCCTAGATACTTCCTCTTCGATAAAAACGTAGGAAATATTTGGAACAAGATAAAACAGTTTCTAAATTTAAAAATACCATCTACCGATATGGTGTACAAGGAGTTTAAAGATTTGCGAAGATGGAGCAGACATTGCAAGAATTTAAAAATGTCAATTATAAAAGACCGCGGACGATGTTATTCAAATAACGTTTGCAATATACCCTTCTATCACAGGTTAAATGAGAAATATTAATGTATAGTGAAAATGACGAACGAAGAGGCGTTGTACAAGAATTGGGAACCTCCTACAATCCATAACGGCGACGAAAACCAACTGAAATCGTCGTCAACTGTAAGTGAGGTTGGAGAAGAAAGGGAATTTGATGTCGAAGACTTCTTTAGAACGTGAGTAAATTGAAAATTGTATAAGATTAGTTTTGTTAGAAATTAATGGTTTGACTTTCAGAACGATTACAGAAGCGGAGGAAATGAAAACCCGACGCATGACAATTGCTGTGCAAGCGAAACATACGTCTCTTGGAGCTATTCCTACCTACGTAGAGAAGTATTACATGCAAGTAAAGATCTTATTTGGATAAGTAATTGCTAATAAAAATATGTTGCAAGTATCTATCATCATCAAGTCAGATAAGTCAGGACGGAAGGAGTAGTAGGGATATAAAGCAGTGGATAGCGCAGGGTCGTGTCGCCTTTAATAAAAAGAAGTCACTTCTAAGCTCGCGGACAGTTAATTTAGAAATTCGAAAAAGGTTGTTAAAGGTGTATGTTTGGAGCACGGCGTTGTACGGGTGCGAAACATGGACAGTGGGAGCGGCGGAAAAGAAAAGGTTAGAAGCGTTCGAAATGTGGTGTTATAGGCGGATGATGAGGATATCGTGGGTAGAAAAGGTTAGAAATGAAGAGGTATTGGAAAGAATAGGAGAACAGAGGACTCTATGGAAGTCAATAAAAAATAGGCGAGATAGGTTGGTAGGACACCTTCTCAGGCATGAAGGTCTAGTCAGAGACATATTAGAGGCAGAAACAGGAGTTAGGAGGGGTAGAGGTAGACCTAGATTAGATTACTGTTCGCAAATAGTTAAGGATGTGGGCTGTTCTAGTTTTAGGGAAATGCGAAGATTAGCTCAGGATAGGAAAAAGTGGAGGTATGTGTCCAACCAGTCTCAGGATTGACGACCCTATGATGATAATGATGATAACCTATTATCATCATTAGATCGTCAGTCCTAAAACTGGTTGGACACGTACCTTCACTCTTTCCTGTCCTGAAATAATCTTCACAGTTCCCTAATCCCACATCCTTAATTATTTGCGGTAATCTAATCTAGGTCTGCCTCTACACCTCCTAACTCCTGTTTCTGCCACTAATATGTCTCTGACTAGACCTTCATGCTTAAGAAGGCGTCCTACCAACCTATCTCGCCTATTTTTTATTGACTTCCATAGAGTCCTCTGTTCTCCTATTCTTTCCAATACCTCTTCATTTCTAACCTTTTCTACACACGATATCCTCATCATCCGCCTATAACACCACATTTCGAACGCTTCTAACCTTTTCTTTTCCGCCGCGCCCACTGTCCATGTTTCGCACCCGTATAATGCCGTGCTCCAAACATACACCTTTAACAACCTTCTTCGAATTTCAAATTAACCGTTCGAGAGCATAGAAGTGATTTCTTTTTATTAAAGGCCACACGACCCTGCGCTATCCTCTGCTTTATATTCCTACTACTCCTTCCATCCTGACTTATCTGACTTCCTAGGTATCTAAAATCAGCCACTTCTTCTAATTTTTCGTCTACTGTCTTTATATTCGCCCTTTCCCTACTTTTTCTTCCCTTGCATATCAGTATTTTAGTTTTACTTTTATTTATTTTCATACAGTAGTGATCTGTCAGTACCGCTTCCATTTTATTTAAAGCTATCTCTANTTCACCCTGTATATTGAAATAATTTTAGACGCCACTAACATACCATTACAATACCCTTTCAGATTTGTTTCTTTAATGAGATGTCATGTTTCTCAATTGGTGAATACTTGAATAATCGTCGAATAGTAGCAATAACACCTGTAAAAGTATTGGCCATTCCTAGATACTTCCTCTTCGATAAAAACGTAGGAAATATTTGGAACAAGATAAAACAGTTTCTAAATTTAAAAATACCATCTACCGATATGGTGTACAAGGAGTTTAAAGATTTGCGAAGATGGAGCAGACATTGCAAGAATTTAAAAATGTCAATTATAAAAGACCGCGGACGATGTTATTCAAATAACGTTTGCAATATACCCTTCTATCACAGGTTAAATGAGAAATATTAATGTATAGTGAAAATGACGAACGAAGAGGCGTTGTACAAGAATTGTGAACCATGTTTATCATTCTAATCACAAGCATTGTTTATTTTACGACTAGATGTAATAATAATAAAAACATTTATCTATTCGGAAGCATCTATAGTTCACTAAATATATATTAGTAATACGTTAATTGTGATACAGTGGTTATTTAGTGGTAGAATGTTCGATTGCCATACGGGTGGCTCGGCTCGATACCATCTTTTTATTTAGGTGAACTAAAGTGATACAACTGATCAAAGTTTGTATACTAATAATACTAATTAATTCAATAAGAAATGTATGTATTAAGAAAAATGGTGGATGCGCCAGGAAAGCACAGTATTACCTAATAATCGATTATCAGTATTTGTTACCTTAATATTTGTTACCAGTTAGAATTATTTTAGATATGTGGAAAAGTTTAAAAGTATTTACTGACTAATTAAGCCCGCTTTAAGATTTTCTTGGAGACTAAGTAACTTATTTTAATTTTTGTTACTTCTGTTTTACATTTCGAGCAACAGTAAACAATTTAATAATATGATTCAGCAAGAGCTTTCAACGAATTATTTTCTAAAATATCCTGTTTATTAAATAGAGAAGGTTTAGAGTCCTTTAAATAAATGGGAAAACTGAACCCTTACAATTTCGTCCTGTCTATTCGCCGTTCCTGTTTGTTGTCCTCTAAAGTTTTAATGATGAGTGAAGTTCCAATTAGTACGTCTATCTATGTTTTCTATAAATTTCAAGGTTCAAAATTGTTTCCAATGTGTTATATTCGTGTAAGATTAGGGATGTAAATATTGTCAGAAGTTTTTGGATCCAGAAAAAGATATTTTCAGTTTTTAATAATAATATAAGTCCATACATAGATATTACCAACATTCCGCTTCTTAAATCGTTATGTAAGGCAAACTTTGACTCCTACCCTTCCCTACATTACAGGACTCAAACGTCACATTAGACCAGTTAAGGTTATTTAGAGTGGCACTCCGTGAATTTGTTAAATAAATAATTTTGGAATAATTCGATGGAAGTGCTAATAGTGAGAAGTTGATTTATGCTTTCATAGCTGTAGTCTGAAAAAACTGGATTTCCGGGTTCTAACTAAATTTTGTTGATGACATTCCCACTTCGGGTCATGGTGGCGTCAAATGTGTTCGACATTTTGTTTCTTATCACAAGGGACATGTACAGGAACTTCAAGTTATCGATGCAGTATCTCCAACGCTACTGCTGAACTGTCCACAGTTCTGTTGGAGATCCTGCAAAAGTTCCTGAAGAAGTCCCTTGGTGGTCCACCATAATCCGTCACTGGGATTTCATCAGTGAGACCCGGTTAGAATCCGGAAATCCAGTTTCTTTCTACTTGTGAATAGTTTGTTGAAAAAACATCTGCTTTTCAATAAAGTGAACGATTATGAATATTATTCGAATTCTTCACCGTGGAATCCTTAGAAAGACGTGGGAGGTCGCCCGTCTCCTACTCGACAAAACTTCGACGGATTCAACCATTTTGCTCGTTTTTCTTTTTTTTAATGATATTTGGTTGATATGTTAATCGTAGGATGACGATGTATCGATCAATTTTCTGTGAGTGATGCAGTTTTGTCGGCGCGGGCAGGGCACATGGCGTCGGTATACCGGCGGCGATTATTATGCTGATTCGGCTGAACGCATACCTATACATATGTAGACGACCCTTGGCGAAATTCCATTATCGTCCGCGGTCCGTCCATCCACTTACCTTTTTCTTTCTTCTTCGTCTCTTCAGTTGCTGTTACGGACAAAGCTGCAAAGCGCCGGTAACTTGTACGTACAAACCGCGAAGGTGATCGGTTAGTTGGTCCGCGACAGTCGAGTATATGCGACACGGCGCTGGTGTATCGGCTCCTTCAAGAAGTGCGGATTTTCGTCGTTTGTACGGTACGCGCGTTTAAACTTTTTTTTGTTTGAAATTGCGTTTATTTTGGTTTGGTAATTTCTCTAGTGCCCGATTTTAAACTGGATTTAACGAAAGAGTGTGTTGTGCCGTTTTTATTACACTGTGTGTTAATTTTTTGTTTCATTTCATAGAGGGTCGATGCCTTTTTGGAAGTGAGGGCAATACGGGGAATATAATTTGTTACATTCCAGGAAATACAAATTAGTGGAGAACTTAAGGTAAGAGCTTCTTTATTTGGTGAAATGTAGGTAACTTTTCACCTTAAGACTTATAAAAAAGTTCTAAAAGTTACCCGAACCTGTGCTTGTCAAAGCTTTGTAAAATATAAAAGAAGATAAAAACATTACAATGTGTGCAATCCCTGGAGAGATAAAATGCGAATAGCTTCACTTTTCGATCACAAAATCAAGCAGAAAATCCATTTACCAAATTCATGCACAGGTAAACGCAAAAGCACTTCTCCTAAAAGCTTGCAACAATGCCAACTAACTCCGGGTGGGGGTTATTTGGCATATTGCCCTTCGAGGTCAGTTGACATATGCCTTTAGAGGTCAGTTAGCATATGATATAGATTTGGATATTTAGGCAAAATATAACAGAACAAAAAAAACATTTTATTTTATCACAGCTTGGGGTAATGTTGTTTTCAAAGGATAAATTCTTCAAAAAATTAATTCCTTGAAATTCTGCTTAAGTGTATAAACAATTGTATAAGGTTAAATATATGAGCAAACAATGAATTCAGATATCAACTACGAATGTAGGAGTTGAAAGCTCATTTATCGCACAATTTTACTTTGCTCACAAACGAAGGATCTCTGTCTTATCATCTTACAGACTGGCGAGTAGATTTTTTTGTTCTGATTAACCTGAAGAAACGCTGTTGATGGCGCTTTTCGAAAGGGTGTTTTGTGGTTACATACAATTATCATAATCTGCGTTTCTGATGTTTGGGGTTGTCTGGTATCGATTCTATTTTGAATACCACTAGGGGAGAGAGGTGTCACCGCTATGCCAACTAACACCATACCCAATTATGTCAACTTATCCCACAAGGATATCCAAAAGAAGATGAATACCACACAATCTCAAACTGCATAAATAAAAGATTACGAAACATGCATGGCAATCACAATTTACATCTCTTTTGAAATTTACTCGCTTCGACATACAAGTTCCCTAGAACTAGCTATCCTTAGGCTAATTAACTGTGACCTCCCCTACATAAAAATAAAATGATATTATTGCAATATAACTAATAATTAGTATTGATTTTACTTTATCGAGTTTGATCCCGAACATATTTCCTAAGCCATTTCCATCATTATCATGTATCTATTGTTATTTTCAATTCAAGTTCTTGTTACCTACTTTCGTTCCTGTGAGCGATTCTCATTAGTTTGCTAATTGATGCTAATGCTTAATTGATTAGTTTCTATATAAATACGTTACTTCNTTTTCCGATATTATGGACCAGAAAGTGGAGCATAACCTCCCACGTAAGAAATCCTATTTACTGTTTTTTAACGTAGATGAAGGTCTTGTGCATTGAAAGTTCTGGCCAATGGTCTGTCCCCCTCTGAATATTAATTTAACCTGATGTAAGGTAAAATTAAAATCCGCAAGCGTTTAATTTCCAAATACCATCAACCAGTTCGTTAATTCGAAATTATGCGGCGTTTTTATTTAATAAAAATATCTATTACTTTTGCAATTATTCTCTCGATGAACATGATTGCTAATTATTTATCCAAGAAAATTTCTCTTCCTGACCAAGGGGTGATAAAAATTTGCATATTTAAGCACTAGTTGAGGAAATAAATATGCAATCATGTCTAGATGTGCAGTAGATATACTACATTTATACTAATATTATCAAGGAACATGGATTATATGGAAATTAAAATTTATCTGTGGTCCAATACATAAATAAAATTTGGCCTTCGTCCTTGTGGCGACGTAGTGCTTTGTAGCCATGTGTCGAAAATTGTCCTATTCAAAAAACTAGTGGAGGTAAGAAAAAAGAGAATGTTGTGGTTAGTAAGAAAATAAAATGACAAGTTTTGATTGAGCGCAGGCATCCAGCACAGAGCTTTAATTCGGCGAAAGATTGATTGCGGCTAGCTCTTTGTTATGGGTACCCAGCTAATAAATTCCTTTGCTATTGTATCATGTCAATAATCTAGTAACAAACACCACGACTAGGATACCGAGTGATCAGTGCAATTAGTTATATTTTAACAATTTTAAATCGCCATGAATCCTTTGTTATTTTTCCTAAAATAAAATTGAGAGCCGCAGGGAAAGTTTACGGTGGTGATAGTTAAGAAAATTAATAAAAGATAATTTATAACGTAAAATTCGTTCTTGTACAGGAAAATTATTCGAGTTAGAGAAACGAAGAGCGTTAGGAATACATTGAAAACACAATTGATGTAGGAAATGAGTTAGGATGAAGTGAAAAAATGTTTTATCTAGATTGACTTGCATTTACAGAATATACAATATACAAAACAATACAAAAAACAAATTATCCCCTAATTCTGCTGCATATAACAATAAATTTAATTGTTAGCTAAAAGACGGATTCTCATAATCGCCTAAAATATTGCATTTCATAGTGGCACAAAAAGTGTCTGCTAAATAACTCTATTATTTATGAGATGTTTGTTAATTTGTTTTTAATTTCGTTCTTATTTTTTTCTGCACATCTGTCTTACAATTGGGGTAAAACAAAAACATAAAATACCATTAAATTAGCCGTTCTAAAAAGCTGGCGAAAGGACATGGCATGTAGGTAGTACTACCCTCTTAGAAAATACACGGAATTTTCATGGAAATTTTGTATTTCAAATCCATTCATTGCTAAAAATGAAAGCGAAAGGTGAAGAAAGGAGGAGGGGCTCTCTGTATCACCATACACTTGTCGTAATTAATTTATTTGTTAGAAAGACTTAATCACAATGAATTAGTACACTTGATATTATTATTATTATAAGTCAAGTACCTTGACAATTTTTTTAGCAGTTATGCTATTGCCATCGCTGATTTTCCGCATGTGATAATAGCAAACTAACTATGTTCATTGTTGGTCCAGTTCCATTTTTAATTATCACCGTAGCGAAAAGATTACATTCACAGATGTAAAAGTTACCGCGAGA